TACTACAGTACTACAGTACTACTACTGCTGCTACTACTGCTACTACTACTACTACTACTACTACTACTACCACCTACTACCTGCTACCTACTACCTACTACCTACTACCTACTACCTACTACCTACTAACTACTAACTACTTCATTAACTGTCATTAACTACTACGGCGGCTACTACCACTACTACCACTACCACTACCACTGCTACTGCTACTACTGCTACCGTTAGCGCTGCCGCTGTTGCTACTGCTACTACTCCTACTGGGTCCTACTTCTCCTGCTGCTGCTGGCATTTTGACAGTTAGGCCTTGGCCAGAGTCAATCATACAATAAGCAGTCCTTCGTGTGTATGTACCTCTGCAACCCGCGCGGTCACTCTGTTCACGTGTGCCCTGCCATCAGCTGTCCCGCTTTAGAACTGACGCCCAAGTGGCCAAAGATCGTCCCATGGCCACCTTGGCCGCAACTGTTCGCCGAGAAATGATGGCCTTGGACTCAAACCATCGCTGACCAAGCCGCACCATTGCAAGGTCTAGCGTCATGGGATGACACGAATTGAACAAGCTAGGCTCAATCTAGTAATGTGGCCGATCTATGGTTGGACGGCTAGTGGGCGGAAATCCGAAACTGCGGGCACACGAGCGCTTGCAAGCGCCTCGAAAGGTTGGTGATCTTAGTCGGAGCTTCCCTGGGTCCAATATGCATTTCACCCATGATTGGCTGCCTGAAAGCAGGCCCCCCCCGTCACTCTGAAGCACCCACAGCAACAAAAGGAACCCACAGAGTCGCGATCTTACACTACATCGCTGAAAATGTATTTGATCTCTGCAGCCGGCCATCGGCACACATCATCACACATCTCTTCGGGCCATGTTGCACTGCCGAACGTCCCAGCGAACAGCTCCCCGCCTCGTGACAGGTCACGGCCAAGGTCGTAGGATCTGTCCCGGAAGGGACGGACTCACTGCAAAGGTTCAACCCCTGGCGTTAGGAATCTTATTAGACGGGCGTCTTTGATCGCGCTGTTGCTCCTTGCCTTGTCTTGTTGCCAGAACCTGTACTCAACCCTCCTGCATCTGCTGTATTCCGTTGTAAACTCTAACAAAGCTGAGGCAAGCCCTGCTTCGTGTATGGCTTCTGGGCTTTTGCTATCCACAGAACTCGGACCCCTCCCGCTGTGGCAACGTGACGGCATGCTAGCGACATGATCGCCAGCGCCAAAGGTCTTGGACATGCGTGCAACTTCTGTGAAGCTTCTCTATAGATGCAAAACCAACCCCGGCAAAGCCACACATGCCTGCTAAAATTCATGATGAGGTGGTCCAGAGAATAGTCACTGTCCCCAGCGTTCGTACAAAGCAGCCAAACCTTATTCTGCACTCGACGCAGGGGGCTTCGGATGAGATGGGATGACCCTGTCCCAATGCCAATCTAGGCCCTAGGCCCTACTGCAGGCCCAAGGCCGTAGCAGGCCAGTCTTTGCCTGTGCAGAAGATCCCGAAGCACATGCAGCTAAGCTTGACCATTCAGAGGTCTTGGATGCCGAGATGCTGCTGATTTGCCAGAAACCTAAGAGCAGCTTTCTCAAGATCTCCGAGTCTGTGCTTTCTCATGTTAATACGGTATAGTCTCTAAAAGACCCGTTCGCCAAGCATGGTGTGCCGGATTGCTCCGTATCATCGAAGCTCGACTCTCGTAGGAGTCATCGGTGCAAGCAAGCGGCGCGAGGGGCAATCAAAATAACGTGCGTGGCCTCCGGTGATCTTGAAAAAGGGAACACCAGATTGGAGTTTACCTCAGAGTCAGCCGGACACGTCATATCGAATGAGCAGTACACAGTATATTCACATGCGCATGCTGTACTTGACTACTCAGTCTCCCCCACGTAGAGAGCCATCACCCCGCAAACCCCGCGAGTGAACGAGCCCTCAGCATAACAAATATCCCAGCAGTGCCTGTGCACAAACGCACGGACAGACCGAAAGAGAGAGAGAGAGAGAGCCAGGGAGCGAGAGAGGGAGAGAGACAGAGAGAGAGAGCGAGAGAGTGAGACAGGGGGAGGCCGAGAGACAGACAAACAAACAGACCGACACACAAGACAAACAGACAAAGGATGGACAAAGACAAACCCTGACAAACAACTAAGTGCCCTCAGTACGACAGGAGGTAAGGTCAGTTGGCTTTCGCAGCCAAGGCACCGGGGCAAACATGACGTCCGAAAGTAACAATGGGATAAGCAAGGACGAATTGCCGTCTGCTTCCCATGTGATACCTGGAGCGATGCAGGTTTGGCACAGTAAACTGCTCGGAAATCCGAGCAGTTCGTCGTCCATGACTCTTTGCGGAAAAACGCTGCAGAGAGTCTGGGTCAGACCCACGCCCAACAAACCGTCTTCCAAACAACAGACTCCGTCTTTAAAGGTGCCTCCTGGAGCTTTGCTACTTGCTGCTACTTGCACAGTACCCTTCTCAAAGAAAGCATCTTCCGCGCCTGCTTTACTCAGAAAAATTGGCTGCTGCTCGGTCGGCTTGTGAAGGCCGCTGAAGTCTCCGTACCTGTGGAACGGGCACCGCTCAGTCTCACTCCGCACGCCGATGGGGACTGGCTGAGCAATCCCTCCACCCTACTATTAAAGCCCCCGGCCCCCGGAAATAGAAACTCCCCAAGTGTGTTCATTATTAGTATGCTTTTTTGGCTCTATTGACACTTGCTCTTGCCCTTGCCCTTGCTCCCAACTACTCTTGCTCTTGCTTCTGCTCCTATTGCTTCTCCTCCTGAACCGGATGATGTCAGAGGAGATTTCGGGAATTTTGCTACTAGGTTGGTGATCATTCAATTGGGGAAGGGATTAATCCTGTTCCTGCCACAGCCCCGATCGGATGAAACACCCAGCACTTGGTCCTGGTGCCTGCTGCTGGTTCTTGACCTTGCTGTGAGCGTCTGCCCCGAGGCAGCGCGCTGTAGGACATTTTCCTCACAGGCGATCTCAGTGCAACTTGCCTGAATTCTGGCTTTGTGAAACGATCTACCAAAGCGACAACAGCCTTCGTCGATCTACATACCGTGTCATCTCCCTACAGTAAGATTCGTGTAAGATACCTCATGAAGGACTACAAGTGGCTTGTCCCGTCATGCCTTGACACCCGGTGTCGAAGCCCGTCTTGAATTCCACCACTGAGATGTGCGCCCAGGCCCGTCTTCTCTCGACTTGGGCAGCAACAATTGCATGCCAAGTCTCCAAACGATATCTTCGCTCGGCAGATTCCTCAACAGCTCAGGGGTGCAACGGTGCCAGACAAGTGTGCGAGGAAGCTCGACCCACCACGCCACCTGTCATTCATTATTGTGCTGCCAGCACATGTCACCGAGTACCTACCGTAGGGAAGTGGACTGCGCTCCGAAGTGCTGAAGTGCTATGCCCACTTGAATCTCATGCCTCCCTGTTCAGCAAAGAAACCGGCCGACTCAAGATGCCAAGCGCGAGTGCGTGCTGCTAGGGCTTGCGACAGCTAAAGTGGGCGGCAGCACCAGCAGCATGGCCACCGCAAAAATCAGGACCACACCACCATGCCCGGAATCACCCGACCAGCAGGCAGCCGCAGCACCAGCACAGCACCAAAACCAAAACCAGAACCAGAACCACCACCACCAGACCACCACCACCACCACCACCACCACCAACATCATCACGACCACCACGACCACCACCACCACCACCACCAACATCATCACCACCCGCGGAAGCACGAGCAGCAACAACACGAGCACCGCCGGTAGAAGAAACATCAGTGGCAGCACATACATGCACCCGCACCAGACCAGCATGAAGAACCATGATCAATAGTCGCCAAAATAGCCACAACAACGGCGCAAAACTTCGACGGCCAGTCCTCTTTGCAACATCAGCAGGAACAGCACCGTCAAGCAATTTTTCGTGGCGAGCCAGGATCAAAGACAGCGCCCGTTTTCAGTAAGGTGCCGCTGTTCTGCCAGGAGGCCATAAGGAAGTCCTCCGAGCCAGGTGCAAAGTCTCCTCGCCTCGGAAGACGTCAGCTCTTCGCTTTGCTTTCAGTCATCTTGTATTGCCGTCGTTGACGGCTTGAGCCGAAGTGGGCTCAGGAAGCTAAAGCAATAAGTGAACGAAGCGGGAACGAATTACGAGCGGAATCCAAGTCTATGAATCGAGAACGTGTCTTCCAAGACAGGTGAATGGTGTGCCTTGCTGGTGTAATTAAGCCCAGAACACAAGCGAAGGAAGTGAGCACGTGGTTCGCTTCATTAAATAAAACTCAGGCGCTCGCGAACAACAGGTTTCTGGTAGACACAAGTTGTATTTCTTCCTACATGCAAACGAAAAGTTTGAGCACAGAAGCCTAGCGCATGATATGGAATGAACATATAAAACTCCGAACCTTAGCAGCGAGAAAGTGAAACATACGGAGCACCTGTCACGTAAAAACATGTATGAGGAGAATATCATGAAGCGTGTACTGCGCAGGCATAAGTCTTTGTTTATGTACGAGAGACCGATAGGTGCAACTGAGCAGCTTGCCTGCAGGTGCTGCTCCGCGCATTCGGTGAAGAGAATTCGGTGATGTACCAATGGTTTCAAATTTGGCGACGATCTTGTGATGAAGGTTTTTCAGTGCTGGTGTGTTGCTAGCAGAGTTGATTTAATTACTCTGTGGCTGTGTGGCAAATATTCCCTGTCTTGTCTGTGCTTGTTGTATTACGCACTGCCGATGCTCATTGTTCATATCATCATAGCTGTCGGATCGTCCTAGCTGCACGAATGCATCGCTTTCGTGGACGTCTATATTCAATTCTAGGTCTATTCGTATATGGATCTAACATGATTTGCTTCATGGGTGTTTCGAGTCAGCCTTCAATATGTGTCCCAGCAGTTTACTTTTCTCGTCATCCATGTTCGGGAAAACTTGTCAAAGAGGTGGCGGTGATCAGTCTGCAGGACGTCTAGTACTTTCTGATTCGTGTGACTACGATCGATAAAAGTGGGAGGATCTTTAGGATGCGGCGAAGTCCTTTCATCTGAAATGCATTAAGTTTATGTAGATCAGACTGCGTGAGCTGCATGCGTTCAAGCCCATAGAGGACTTTGCTTTCATGTTCCAAAAGAATTTAATGTTTTGTGCGTAACACTGGCATCTGCAATGCGACAGGTTCATGCATTTGTCGTAGTTCAAGCTCATCATATAGTACCTGGATTCAGCTTGGATTGCGTGTAATAATTTGTTTACTGCATGAGTATGGGTTCCAAAAGCTAGTGTGTCGTCTGCATATAATATTTCTGCATATTCTATTCCAAGTAACGGCTCTCTTTGCTTTGGAGTGGTTTTACTTGGCTCTAATATCCTTGAACATTCCAAACATTTGTAACGCAAATGAAAATGGTCAGAGGGGGCAACCTTGACAAATCCCAAACTCCTGCGATTTATATTCTGAACATTGGCTGTCCATTTTGATCCTGAACTGTGGATCGTAGTACATGCCAGCAATCAGCTGAAACATATTGGGGGGGGGGGGGTACTTTTACCCGCGTAGAACCTGTAAAAGCTTAGTTTGGTTCCCTTTGTCGAAAGCATTCCCTCAATATAATAGAATAATAGGTGACAGGTTTGAATGTTGTCTTCCAGCTAAATCCAATCATTTTCTAGCTATGCAAGCAGCTTGTGTTGGTGAATTCTTCAGGCGAAAACCGTATTGTGAGTTTGGGATCCATGGGTCGTCTGCATGTAGTAGTCGTGTCCTTATCATACCTACTACTAGTTTATGAAACACGTGCAATAGTGGAATTGGTCTGTAGATTTGCATTTGTGAGGCATCTCTTTTTTTGTAATAACCACTAAATTGTTTCTTTAAGAGTCTCCAGGAACTGGTGGCGTGAATCATGTCGCTGTATAAACGGCGGTAAAGAATTTCGATATGTATAACGCAAAGCCATTTCACTAGCTCTGCTCGGCATTCATCCGGTCCTGGAGTGTTGTTTTTTGCGCATCGATTACGTTCTCAAGCTCCGGCAAAGTAAACAATTAGTCATTCATATTGTTTCCACGTTCTATAAAATGGAAACATAAGTTTTATTGATCAATCTTAATAACGTAGAGATATCCTCGTCAAGCTTGTTCTCGTTTCGTTTTATTTCGTTTAGAAAGACACGCATTCTGTTTGGTTCGTTTGTTTATGTTACCAGGGGCCCCGGGGAAGTGGGTCCCGGTTTTGTACCCCCCTGAAGCTTAAAATCAGAAGCTTACATTCGGCGCCTAAATTCCGTCGGTGCGGGCTGAAACCGAAATTCGGCTGACGCTCAAATTCGGCGCCGATATTCGATCCGGCAAACGATCGAGGCCTAAATGCGGCGCTGAAGCCTACACGTCTTAAATTCGGTTCACCAAAGCCTGACACCTGAAACCCTCTTGACGCCTAAATTCGGCACCGAAATTGGTCCTGTGTCCGAATGTGCGAGGGGCCACCTGAGCTCTGCGCCGGCCTCTAATCAGCTCGGTGCCTGACGCCGAAATTCGGCGCTCGAATTCGCTGCAGCTTACAAACTCGGTCTGCCCCCAGCGAAGCCGAAAATGTGCCTCACGCCGAAATTCGGCGCTCGAATTTGCTGAAGCTCAAATTCGGTCTGCTCCCAGCCTGAAGCCGAGAATGTGCCTGACGCAGATTCGGCGTTGGAATTCGCTGAAGCTTGAATTCGGGCTGACGCCAGGCTGACGCAGAGATTCGCTTCAGCAAATTCGGTCTGCCCCCAGCCTGAAGCCGAAAATGTGCCTGACGCCGAATTCGGCGGTGGAATTCGCTGAGGCTTGAATTCCGTCTGACCCCAGGCTGACGCCGAAGATGTGCCTGAAGCCGAAATTCGGCGTTGGAATTCGCCGAAGCCCCTGACCTGACGTCGAATTCGGAGGTCGAATTTGCTGAAGCTTACATTCGGTCGGCCCCCAACCTGAAGCTGAAAATGTGCCTGTCGCCGAAATGATTCGAAATCGAATTCGCTGAAGCTTAAATTCGGTGCCAGGCTCCAATCGCTGAGATCAAGGAGCGCCACTGATTTAAACATCAAAACTCTCCTCACCCGGAACTAAAGGATAGAGACTTGGACTGATGGGGCGCCCCTGATTTCAAAATCAAAGCTCCTTTTACCAACATCGTCAGAGGATGGAGCCTGGGAGTGATGGGGACTGTAACATCAGAACTCCGATATCACCCTGAACTCACAAGATGCAACCTGAAACTATTGGGGGGGCACTCTGGCTTTAAAACCAGAGCTCCTATATCGCCCTGAACTCAGAGGATGGCCCTGCATGAATTCAGAGGATGGAGCCATGGACTGATGGCGACCCGGACTCACAAAAACAGAACTCCTATCACCCTGAAGTCACAGGATGCAACCTGAGACTGTGGTGGGGTGCCTCTCCTATCACCTTGAGCCTTGGACTGATAGGGCCCGGATTCACAAAAAATAGAACTCCTACACCCTGAATTCAGAGAATGGAGCCTTGGACTGATGGGGCGCCCCCCGATGCTAAAATCAGAGCTCCGTTATCACCCTGAACCCAGCACCCCTGATTCTACGATCAAAACTCCTATCACCTTGAACTCAAAGGATGGAGCCTTGGACCGATGGGGTGCCCCTGACTTTGAAGTCAGAACTCCTATATCACCCTGAACTGAGGATAGGTGACAATGCTTGTCCTCAGGGCCGAAATTCGTCTTCGCGGCCGAATTTCGTCTTCAGGGCCGACTTTCGTCTTGGACCCTGACGACGAAATTCAGCCTTGAAGACAAAATTCGGTCGCGAAGACGAAACTCGGCCCTTCAGGGCCCAATCTCATCTTCAGATAAGCATTCCGGACCCTAGAAACGTCTGCCTGTATTGATGACTGAGGATTTTCGTTTACGGGCTGAATTTCGTCTTCACGACCGAATTTCGTCTTCAGCGCGCCCCA